GATAGATAGATAGATAGATAGATAGATAGATATGATGGATAGATATACAGAAAGATAGAAACATAGCTATGATGGATAGATAGATGATAGATAGATAGATAGATAGATAGATAGATATCATGAATGGATAGATGGATAGATAGATGAGAGAGAGAGAGAGATGATGAATGGATGGATGGATGGATGGATGGATAGATAGAGTGAAATAGGGATGGTTGAATAGATAGATAAGATGGATAGATAGGTAGATAGGCAAGATAGATAGATATGATGGATGGATGGATGGATGATAGATAGATAGATAGATAGATAGATAGATAAGTATGATGGATAGATGGATATGATGAATGGATAGATGATAGATAGATAGATAGATAGATAGATGATAGATAGACTGATAGATATGATGGATGGATGGATGCATGGATGGATAGATAGAGAGAGAGATATGATGGATGGATGATAGATAATAGATAGATAGATAGATAGATCAATAGATAAGTGTGATGGATAGATAGATAGATAGAAATAGGGATGGATGGGTAGATAGATAAGATGGATAGATAGATATGAAAGATAGATAGGTAGATAGGTAAGATAGATAGATAGGATGGATAGATGGATGATAGATAATAGATACATACATAGATAGATGATGGATGGATAGATAGATAGATAGATAGATAGATAAGTATGTGGGTAAATAGATATGATGAATGGACAGATGATAGATAGATAGATAGATAGATAGATAGATAGATAGACAGATATGATGGATGGATGGATGGATAGACAGATAGATAGATAGTAGATTAATAGATTGATAGATGGAGAGTAAGGTAGATAGATGATACAGACAGACAGATGGACAGATGCATGGATGAGTAGATAGATGGATTGACAGATGGCAGAAACAGATAGATGAATGGATGGATGGAAGGATGGGTGAATAGATGATAGATAGATACATAGATAGATAGATAGATAGATATGATGGATGGATAAGTGATGGATAGATACACAGATAGATGATAGATGGGTGGATAGATAGATAGATAGATAGGATGGATAGATAAATGGTGGATAGATACACAGACAGATGATGCATAGATAGATAAACAGAATCTCTCACGGTAAGGCAGGGTTTCTCAATCTCAGGACTGCTGACTTTGGGGCAAGATAATTCTCTGTGGTGGGGGCGTCCTGGGCACCGTAGGGTATTTTCCACCCACCAGAGGCCAGTATCACCCCTCCCACAATTGTGACACCCAGGCCAAGCCCAGGCACGGCGACAAGTCCACTGGTGTGGGCCAGGCTCCTCCCCAGGTGAGAAGCCCTGCTGTAGTCAAGGGAGAGTGAGCACTTGCTGTCTGCTCTGTTCCACAGGCATGGAAGCCCATGATGGGTACCGCGCCCTCCAGTGGAACGGGGGATCGGGTGGACTCCCCGAGAATGAAACCACGTTTGCAAGAATCCTGCAGCAACAAGGTTATGCAACCGGCCTCATAGGTACTCATATCGTTAGTGAACAGGAAGACCAACCATCAAGAGAACCTGTTTCCCTACAAGGTGGAAAAAAAAAGTCGTGTGTCAGAACCAAAATCGGGGGCTGGACCCTTCTGATCTCTCTTGGGTTTGTCACAGTGTTGGAACTTCTGTTATTGACAGGCAGTTTTTCACTCACTCTCTTGGGAGGTGGCCCTCTTTCCTCCATCCCCAGGTTCTATATTCGGGGCTGTTCTCATAGGCATCTGCTTCCCGGCACCCATGACTTTTCTGGTCTCCACGTAGCAATCTGGGGGCGACACAGACATTCAGAACATAACATATCACATCTTCGGGGACATTTTCAAGGACTTGTTGCACATCCACACTATCACCTTTCTCTTTTCACTCCCAAGAAATGGAGCAAAACTTCTTAGCCACCCAAATTGACTAGAACTTTCCATTAGCAACTCACCACCATTGGATCAGTGTCCCTGACCCCAGAACTGGAAAAGTAGATTTATTTTGCATTGACTAGAATTGCAGACCTGTGTACCGGTTCCTTCTGTGCCTCTTCTTCTGGTGCACACGTGCCATCTATATTTAGAGAAGGCTGTTCTTGACAGCATGAGAGGTGGAGACCCTCCTGGACACTCTTCGTCTCCACCACCCTCACCCTGTTCGAACTTTTTTGCTGCCTTAAATGAAAGCAGGGGAATAAAGGAAGATACCCGGGCTTGGAGTTAGAACCAATTCCTATAGGTTCTGAAGACACTTTGTGAGTCGCGGGAGGGAGCAACAGGGCAAGGACCCGGTGTACCCTGTGCACTTGGAAATTATGGCAAATAGTACTTTGGAGCCTTTTCTATCCTGTTTTGTAGCTAAATTTAAGGTGGTTGAAGGTCTGGAGTAAATGAAGTAGAAAGTGCCCATAGACGGGCGCCTGGGTGGCTCAGTCGGCTAAGCGTCTGACTTCGGCTTAGGTCATGATCTCGTGGTTCGTGAGTTTGAGCCCCACGTCGGGCTCTGTGCTGACAGCTCAGAGCCTGGAGCCTACTTTGGATTGTCTCCCGCTCTCTCTGCCCCTCCCCCGCTCATACTCTGTTTCCGTCTCTCAAAATGAATAAATGTTAAACATTTTTTTTTTTAAGTGCCCATAGAGAACCCAACTCTTGCACATCCTGCTGGAATTTGATATACGGGCTTACTCACGTTCCATCTCAATGATATTGTTGTCAAAATTCTTGCCTTTGGGAAAAATCTATTATAAGCATTTCTTGCTTACTAGTTGGTGGAGTGAGATGGTTACTTCTACTCGGTCTTGAGATTTTGCAAGAACCAACTCCTGTTATCAAGCGGCTGTCTTTTAAGTAAGAAATAGCAGTAAATGATATTATGTGAGTTATTTAATAGGATAGTCTAGGGTGACAAACTTATAATTACACACAGTCCGGAAAATCTTAAACCTTTAATCTCTTGATAACTGTCATGAGTATTTGTAATGTTCATTACTGTTTGCAAAGTGTAACACACCCATTTAAAAATACCCCAATATGAATGAATTCATTTCATCCCTTTCTATTTTGAATTTCTATTGTGTTCCTTTCTTTAAAAAAATTTTTTTTAATGTTTATTTATTTTTTATTTTTTTTTTAATTTTTTTTTCAACGTTTATTTATTTTTGGGACAGAGAGAGACAGAGCATGAACGGGGGAGGGGCAGAGAGAGAGGGAGACACAGAATCGGAAACAGTCTCCAGGCTCTGAGCCATCAGCCCAGAGCCCAACGCGGGGCTCGAACTCACAGACCGCGAGATCGTGACCTGGCTGAAGTCGGACGCTTAACCTACTGCGCCACCCAGGCGCCCCAATGTTTATTTTTGAGAAAGAGAGAGAGACAGAGACAGAGCACGAGTAGGGGAGGGTCAGAGAGAGAGGGAGACATAGAATCCGAAGCTGGTTCCAGGCTCCGAGCTGTCAGCACAGAGCCCAACGTGGGGCTCAAACCCATGAACCATGAGATCGTGACCTGAGCCAAAGTCGGACACTTAACCGACTGAGCCACCCAGGCACTCCTATTATGTTGCTTTTCTCGTTCAAGTTTTGCTGGTTGCATACCATCTTTTTTCATCAGAACATCCACATTATTGAGAAGGTGATTCGTATCAGACAGAGCACCTTATTTGTATGTTCTTCTCTAACGCCCTGCTCTCATTTTCAGGGAAATGGCACCAGGGCGTAAATTGTGAATCCCGCAATGACCACTGCCACCACCCACTGAACCACGGATTTGACTATTTCTATGGCATGCCTTTCACGCTTGTGAATGACTGTGACCCAGGCAGGCCCCCGGAAGTGGACGCCAGCACGAGAGCGAGGCTGTGGTTTTACACCCAGGTGGCGGCATTGGGAGTGCTGACCGTTGCTCTTGGCAAGATTTGGGGGTTAATCTCTGTGCCCTGGAAAGCGGTCCTGGGTGCGGCCAGCCTCGTCTTCCTCTTTTTTGTCTCCTGGTATGCCAGCTTCGGGTTTGTGCGTCGTTGGAACTGTATCCTGATGAGAAACCATGACGTCACTGAGCAGCCCATGGTTTTGGAAAGAACCGCGCGTCTCATGCTACGGGAGGCAGTTTCCTATATTGAAAGGTAATAAAACCATCACCAAACCATCACCTTTGATTTTATTGTTTTAAGTTTATTTATTTATTTTGAGAGAGGGAGGGAGAGAAAGAGAGAATACCAAGCAGGGTCCACACTGTCAGCTCCGAGTCCGAGGTGGGGCTCGAACCCATGAACCATGAGATCATGACCCGAGCTGAAATCAAGAGTCAGACGCTTAACCGACCGAGCCACCCAGGAGCACCAAAAACACCACATTTGAAACAGGAGGTGACTTCTCAGAGCAACTGAGTCTCTTTATCATCTTTGGGATTTCCTCAACCAGCCTCAATGGGGAGATGGTTTTCAGGGGCTCAGGTGGATCGCATAATGTCGAAAGAGGTTCCATCGTGTCTGAAGGGTGTTTCTCTGCTTTCAGAAATAAGCACAGGCCATTCCTCCTCTTTGTGTCCTTGCTACACGTGCACATCCCCCTGGTCACCACAAAACAGTTTCTCGGGAAAAGCCAGCACGGCTTATATGGCGACAACGTTGAGGAGATGGATTGGCTGGTAGGTAAGTCAACGCACACCTGAGCCTCATTCACTCTTGGAGTCACTGCTCAAGTTTGGAAAACATATGGGCCATGTCACTGTCAACCAGGTTGCAATAAAGAATAACGGGGCACCTGGGTGGCTCAGTCAGTTAAGCGTCTGACTTCATCTCAGGTCATGATCTCATGGTTTGTGAGTTCAAGCTCCGCATTGGGCTCTGCGCTGACACTCGGAGCCTGGAGCCCGCTTTGGATTCTGTGTCTCCTTCTCCCTCTGCCCCTCCCCCACTCACACTCTGTCTCTCTCCATCTCTCAAAAATGAATGAACATCAAAAAAGGATTTTTAAAAAGAATAGTGAAAAAGGCAAAGAATAGGGAGAAACGTCCCCATATCATTCACGTCCTCCTTCAGCACTTCGGATTCCTCAGTCTGCTTCTGCACAAAATCATCCTTCCACGAAGTGCGTTATTTAAAGCCATCGTGAGACATTACCGGAAGTGAAGCAAGAACACTGTTGTTCAGGACAACAGACCAACACAGCTTTCCTCCTGTAGCCTCGAGAAAGTCCGGACAGATCCAGTGAGATGGTAGATTCTATTTGTTTTCACCTTGGAGTGTGGCTGATACACAGTGTATCACACTTAGTGTCAACTGTATAGAGATTCTCAGAAAGACGTAGACATCTAAATCCTTGCAGGATCTGAGGGGTGTCCTGGGAGAGACATAGTGATGTGGTACACCAAGTTAAGAGGCAAACAGCCCCAAAATGGGAGGGTGGATTACATAATGTTTTAAAACTCTGCATTTCCACTGTTATGCATGCCAACGTGCTCTAAAATCTTCATTTTCAGTGCTTTAGAGGTGCATTCGGTCTCCATGGATAAAATGTGCACATGGCTTGTACGTGGCTCTGCACCCCCGAGCCTTGGGCTCCCTGTGTCAACACCCACAGATAGATGCTCACAGGTCTGGCTTCCTCGTGTCCCGACAGGGGACTCCCATCAAACCTTTTCTCACCATGTTGCCACCCCCATGCACTCATCATGGACACGTGTATGCCTGCCAACCATGCGTGTTCAGAACACGCTATGACTTTGGGTGTTTATTATGTTCTCTGCATTGGCGATACCTTTGTAAGCAAGATTCTGAATCCTGTGGCATCAGAATAATCTGATAGGCATTGACCCTTTCTGACAACGTGCGTAATGATGGTCTATGGTGACTGCAGAATCCACTTGGGGGACTTTCTAGCAAGAATGGGGAACTTTGGGTTGAATTTACTGATGATGGATTACTGGCTCTGTCCTGAAATGTTCCACTTTTCCTCAAGGTGAAATCCTTCAGGCCATTGAAGAAAACGGTCTGAAAAACACGACATTCACGTATTTTACCTCTGATCACGGAGGACATTTGGAGGCAAGAGACGAACGCGGCCAGCTGGGGGGATGGAATGGAATATTCAGAGGTGAGACCAGTGGAGATTGGGGCTGAAAAGGCAGATCGTGGTCCACCAAATGACTCCCAGCAGTGGAGACTGGAGAACAAGTAGAAGGGGAAAAGAGTGTGTACTCTCTTTCTTCCTTTCTTTCTTTCTTTCTTTCTTTCTCTCTCTCTCTTTCTTTCTTTCTTTCTTTCTTTCTTTCTATCATTGTATTTTTATTTTTTTTTATATTTTTATTTTAGAGAGAGTGAGAGAAAGAGTGTGAGTAGGGGAGGGGCAGAGGGAGAGAGAATCCTAAGCAGGCTCCACACTCAGCGCACAGAGCCCAACACGGGGCTCAGTCCCACAACCCTGGGATCATGACCTGAGCCAAAATCAAGATTCAGATGCTCAACCAACTGAGCCCCCCGGGCACCCCAAGAGTGTGTGCTTTCAAAGGGGGATTTCTTGAGTAGCAGCTATGCACCAAATTTTACCAGATGCCAAGAGAGAGAAAAAAAGACACCCGACCTTCCCATGAAGAGTTTACATTTTAGTAGAAGTGTGAGATATACAAATAAATGATTAAGACAAAATAAATGCCATCCTAAATAAAAGACAGTACAGTAACTATAACCCTAATTATATGCATCCTTGTATTTGACTATATTATGCGATACTTAGCGCATCATAACTTTTATACTGCCCTTTTTTTAAAGTCTGACACAATCGCTCCACATGATTCATGGATTCCATATTTATGAATTCTCCTGCTTGCTAAAATTTATCTGTAGCCCCAAAATCAATACTTATGATGAATTTGTGGCCATCGAAAGAGCAATGAAAATACTGGTCACCTGACACGTACATTCCCAGTTAAGGTTGGATGAGGCAACTGTGTGCCTATATTTCGTCTCTCAGACTATGAACACAGGTCTCTTTTGTGGTCACGTTTTTGCGGTTTTGTTTGCTTTTTGTTGGCGACTTTGCTGCTTCAAATGGCTCCCAACCATAGCGCTGAAAGCTGTGCCCTGTGTCCGAGGGCAAGAACCCTGTGCCGTGCCTCATGGAGAAAATCAGTGTGTTAGATCCGCGTGGTCGAGACATGCATTCTAATGCTGTTGGCTGTGACATCAATGTCAAGGGATCACAGTATCTACTCAGTAAGGTGTGTTTAAGCCAAACACACAGAAATATACCAACTGACTGATGAAAATATAGAGACCAGAGTCTCCCTGGAACCGAGCCCTGTATTGCTCCTGGGAGCTGGGATTTCGTATTTGCTCATGGGGTGTTTTTGACGGCTCTGTAGAACACCACTCCGGGGGATAATGAGGGTTGACTCTATATGTTCCTACCCCTTGGAAGTGGATTTTTCTTCTGATCCACCGTATACGTGTCCAAGATGTAGCAGGTTCATTTACAGTAGATTCTTACTGTCCCCGGTAGTATGTTCTACAAACAGCCGAAACCTTGAATTCCGACTGTGGGACCCGGAACAGAATACCCACGAACCCAGCATACAGAACTGAGACCAGATACACAGGAGTGAAGCCGCTGATTTTCAGTCACCCGTCACACAGCGACAGAAAATGAAAGGAAGCACATTATAATCTGAACTGTGGCAAAGAAGCCTTTATTTAGCGAGATTCTGAACGCATCCTTCCCTTCTTAAAACTCTCCTTCTGTAACATAAGATTGCTTTGACTCCCCTATCCAGAGTTCCTAGGCAACGTAAGCATGTTCCCTAATGCTCAGTAGTGGTGCGTGTTTCCCCAAAAGCCAGGCTGGGTCCCAACTCATTGCCAGGCACCCCAGAAATGAGGAGGAACCAGGCAAGGGGTAAAGGAACAGGTGGATGGTGTGGTGAGCAGGTGGGAACGGAGGAGGGGTGGGTCCCAGACCCAGTTCCCAGTCCTTCAGGAAGGAAAAAAGATGGAATAAGATAGGGGTCACCAGCCGCACACGGTGTGAAACTCCAGGGCCATTATGCCCCTGATGCCATGCATGCACACCCCATTTTTTCTGGCGGTCACAAAGACACCCTGAATCACAAGGGGAGAGTGTACAGACTCCACGTGCCCGTGGGGGAGTGACGAGGTTCTGGAATTATTGCCACAACCATTTATTGGGAACGCAGCCTGCCGCGGAGTGCATTGATGGGCGTAGGCGTCCAGGGAAACACTAGGTGTGCCCAGGTGTGTGTGTGGATGGGACCGTCTCCTGGACAACCCTAATGGCACTTCCTTACAGGTGGCAAAGGGATGGGGGGCTGGGAAGGCGGCATCCGCGTCCCGGGGATCTTCCGGTGGCCTGGGGTGCTGCCGGCCGGCCGAGCGATCCACGAGCCCACCAGTCTGATGGATGTCTTCCCCACCGTGGTCGAGCTGGGGGGCGGCCACGTGCCCCAGGACAGGTACACGTACAATGAGACCCTCTGTTCCCCGGTTCCTGACAGCTACCCTTGCACTATTTCACACGTGGGGGAGAAAAACGACCACAACGTGAGAACATCTAAAAGGTTCTCACGTCCTCAAAGGTAAGGGTCAGCCTAACGCCACAAAATAACCACCCTCGCGAAAACATGATTAAATACACTATTGGGTCCATTGACTGGTTTTGCCGAGTGGGTAGAATTTGATAACTGCAACAATCGGGAGATTAAAGCAGTAGAAGTCAGTCCGTTGGAAAACATCCCCCTATGATTTCCTGAAAAGGCAGTCTTGCCCATGGGCGGATGAGGCTGTGGCCTCAATATCTGCACATTACCAAAGGCTCACGCTAATACAGGGTAAAAACAAAAAAGTAAATCTTTTCACAATGATTTGATTTTAAGACGACAAATAAATACTTCTGAGTAAAAGAGGCAAAACCAATACAATATGTGCAGGTACGTGTCTGTGGGCTTATCAAGTAAGACCTCGATTTTAAGGAACTGGCTCAGGCAACTGTGGAGGCTGTTCAACTGAAATCCTCATGTCGGGCCAGCAGGCTGGAAATGCAGCCAGATTTTCCGTGTCATAGTCTGGAGACGGAAGTTCATCTCCTCTGGGAAAACTCAGGCTTTGCTCTTGGCAAGATTCTGAACACATCCTTCCCTTCTTGAAACTCTCCTTCAACTGATTGGGTGCGGCCCACCCTCATTATCAAGGATGCTCTGCATTGCTCTAAGTCCATTGACTGTGGGTGTTAACCGTATCTAAAAAAAAACGCTTTCATGGTAACCCTTAGGCTGGTGTCTCACCAAATCCCTGGGCGCCATAACCCAGCCAAGTAGACACAGAAGATGGAACCATCACAACTAGGGTACAATTCAAATAAAAGGGAAGATAACTCCATTTTTACATTCAGTTCAGATTAAGGACTTTTTTTGTTGTTAATATTTATTTCTGAGAGAGAGAGACAGAGACAGAGTGTGAGTGCAGGAGGGGCAGAAAGAGAGGGAGACAAAGAATCTGAAGCAGGCTCCAGGCCCTGAGCTGTCAGCACAGAGCCTGACGCAGGTCTCGAACTCGTGAACCGCAAGATCATGACCTGAGCCGAAGTCAGTCGCTTAACTGGCTGAGCCACCCAGGTGCTCCCAGATTAAGGACTTTTTAAAAATATAAGTTGTTTGTAAGGAAGACACTTCAGGTCACGTGGCCGTTACTGGCTTCCCTACCCAGCTCCTATAGACATGTGACAACATGTCTTGGAATCTGTTATGATTTTAAATCATAACATAATATGTTATGTTACGATTCTGCTACATTAACACTCAAATCAGGGGCCTGGGCAGTCCAGCCAGAATTTAAGATGACTTTGTGTGGAAGAAGTGACCCCACGACTTAGTGACTTTGTGTCTAAAACCAGTATGCATCTCGCTCAGCAACCTGCCATCTGCATGATACTGGGGCGATGGCTCGTCTCCCTTGCCCTCAGCGGGGGCCCCCTCCAAGCTTGGCGTTTCATTTGCCTGTGCAACACTGCACAAAGAACCTTGGCCTGATTCCTTCCTGTGTCTCTTCACTGAATCAGGGTGATCGATGGCCGTAGCCTGGTGCCCTTGTTGCAAGGGACTGCCGAGCACTCAGCACACGAATTCCTGTTTCATTACTGTGGGAAGTATCTGCACGCAGCACGCTGGCACGATAAAGACAGTGAGTACACACTCTTCTCTTGTGGCAGAAGGGGGCTTGCATTAGTCACAGTTCCCCTGAGAGACAGAACCAAGAGTGTGTGGGATGGATGGACAGACAGATGGACTGTGGATGGATGGATGGATGGATGGAAGGAAGGGTAGACAGGTGATAGACAGATGATGGGTAGATGGGTAGATGACAGATAAGTGATGGATGGATGATAGGATACATTGATTAATAGCTAATGAGATAGATGGATGATAGGTCGATAGATGGATGGATGGTAGAAATAGAAGATAAAGACAGATGTGGACGGATGGACGGATGGATGGGTGGAGGGTGGATGGAGGGTGGACAGATGGGTAGAAGGGTAGAAAGGTGATAGACAGATGATGGATAGATGGATAGATGACAGATAAATGATGGCTGGATGATAGAAATATAAGATAAAGACAGATATGGATGGATGGTAGATGGATGGACAGATGGA